CCAGGGCCTGATCCGGAGCTGGGAAGCATCCCCAGGCCCCCGTCCTGAGCCTGCGTCGGGGCCCGGATCGGCGAGAGGGATCCCGGGTCTGTCCGGTGCCAAAGATGTTCCCACAGAACCGGCCCCCGGTGAGCCTCGCAGCTCAGCCTCGTCCCCTCCAGGCCACGGGCGAGCATGTGCTGGCCTGGCCCTTGGCAGGGTCTGCACCCCCAAACCGAGCTCTCTGGGTGGGGAGGGCGGGGGGTGTTGGCCGTGGCCTGGAAAGTTGTGCCGATGGCGTGTAACGCGCTCAGGAGCAGCGTTGTGGCTCTTCCCAAACTGATGCTGAACCCCGGAACCACGGGGACTCGGAAGCTGGGTCGCAGTCAGGGTGTAACCGTGGGATGAGCGGCTGGGGGGCTCTGCTGCGGGGCACGCGGGCGAGGACAGACCCCCCCACCACCCCCCCCGCTGCTGGGGCTGGGCGGGAGGGCTGGGGGGTTGCACCTTCTGCCCACGTAGGCTGCATGCTCTGCGCCGCCCGTGGTTGTTCATCCTCCTCTTCTGGCTCAGTGGCTGGGCCGACGCTGGGAAGGTGGAGAACGATTGCCCTTGGTGCCTGGCTGTAACCAGTTTCCTCTGCAATAACTCCTTCTGCCACCTCTTCCATGTGCTGCTCTCCTAGACGTGCCCGTAGCCTCTTCCCCGGGTGCAGGAAACCCCCAGGGTGCCTGTGAGCCTCACTAGGCCAGCAGCAGTGACCCCGGGGGTCCCCTCCTCTGCCTAGGCCCATCTCCAGGCACCATCCGCTGCCTCCGGAGCCGCTGTCGCTGCCAGTGCCATCCCCAGCACCCCCCAGTCCCTCAAGCTGACTTACCCGGAGACCTTGGACCGCATCAAGGAGGAATTCCAGTTCCTGCAGAACCAATACCACAGGTGAGAAGCTGCCAGAGCTCACGTGCCAGCAAGGCTCTGGGCACTTAACTGGTGCTGGCGAGGGGTGGGCTCCCCCTCGGCACCGGGCATCAGCGCAGGCTGTCGGGAAGCACCGTCCCATGCTGCTGCGGGCGCTGGTCCATCTGGAGGGTGGCCGTGCCAAGCACCACCTTGATAGCTTGAAATGACACCGCTGGAGGGGGAAACTCGTCCTTCTCCTTCCAAAAGTCCCAGGATGAGGGTGCTGGCTTCCAGGGACTGGCTTCTGGGCTGAGCTGGAGCTGCCACTTAGCAGACCTGGGGTCCCTCGGATCCCCCCTCGCCGCTGGCCAGGATCACCTCCCCTTCCCCACACGCTGCTGGGCAGAGCAAGGCTTGAAATGCAGCTCAGCTTTGCAGCTCGCTCCATTTGGGAAGCAGATGCTGGGGAGGGGGTTAAAACTCCGTGCGGATTGCTCCCTGACGCCTGGATCCCTTCGCTGTCCATCTCCTCTTTATCAGCCCCTTCCTACCCTCTTTCAGGTGGTTTTCTTGGCTTGTGCTGGGAGACGGCTTTGAATCTGAGAGCAAGAGGCTGAAGCACGCAGTGTGCTGGGCGGGCTCGTGCTCTGTCCAGCCTGGGAGATCTTGTCGGGGGGGGGAGCAGGGTGTCTCTCCCTTGCTCTTCCTCCCTCTCTGTCTTTCCTCTTTATTTTTACAGCTTGAAGTTAGAATGTGAAAAGCTGGCAACAGAAAAGACAGAAATCCAGCGTCATTATGTCATGGTTAGTGAGCTCTACCTGAAGGGAGGAGGGCGGCGGGGGGTGTCTCCTCTGAACTGTCAAAGGGCGCGCAGCCCTGAGATGCGTTCGCTTCCCCTTGCATTTGGGTTGTGTGGCCCGGCCCCGAGGTCTGGCTCCTCCGGCTGTTATTGCCTGCTTTTCCCCTGAAACGAGCCGTGGTGTTCGAGCAGGGCACACTGCCGCAGCTCCCGGGGGGGGGAGGGTGGGC